TGATAATGGTTTGGGGCTTTTGAATACCGTCGTCGTATTTTTTAGCGTAGTAAATAACAATTAAAGTTTTTCTTTTTTGTTGCTGTTGCACTTTAATAATGATAAACAACTGTTCTGTTGGCTGGGAGGTTGGTCGTTCGGTCGGTCGCTGGGTCAGTCGGTATGTTTGTTTAAATGTTTGTCCCCGTCTGATTTATTAATGAATAACGTCAGTGCTTTCCATAGTAGCAGTAGAAGTTCCCAAAACCGCCTTTCGCCGGGGTCAATTTATATGCCATTATTGTCTAGTAGATCTCCTACGGGAATATGTTAATAACTGAGAGAGGGTCATAACATGCAATGGAGATACCAGATGTGAAATAATTGCCTCTGGAATTCAGCGAATTGTGGTTAAATGGAAAACACATTTAATGGTCTTAAAAACAATTAGCATATCTGTTTGTAGGATCTTGGTAAGGACTGTTAGTGAGGGGATATTAAAATGGTCATTTAAAGAGGATTTTAATTTTTATAAAAATGGATTACAAAAATACAATAGCAGGGGATATTTTTGTGTTACTAAAATCTGGAAAAATGCAATTACTGTTAATTCTACGACCTTAAAAATACCGAATACCAAAGCCGTTATATCGAGGTAGATGCAATATGGCGGATTAGAGCAAATACCACTCTACGGTAGTTGGTCCTCTCTATGCCGGAAGTTGGTCTTCTCTATGTACTCGAACGATTTGGCATTGCTGAAGATATCGAGGGCATTCTTCGACTTAGAGGTAACTATCGCATACGAACCGTTTGTGGTGCCTCGAGCGACTGTGTGGGTGTCTTCGCAAGCTGTTGATTCATGTTTACACGCACGTCTGATTTTTTCTATCTAAAATCATTTGGATAGTTCGTTAGGAACTTAAGAATAACTCTGAGGTTTCACTTCATCTGAAGGGATTCTTCTGATTAAAAAGTTTCTCGTAGTATGTCATACGAATAGTTCCTTGAGAGTTTACGAATACATTTGAAGTTTCTCTTGATATAAAGGAATTCTTTGTGTATAATCATGCTCCAGTCCCGCTCCATGGACCGGATTACCAAAGTTAACTGCTCTTTAGAAAATCTCTTTGTCGGAGGCTTTCTTACCACTGAGACATTTGGTAGTTGCCTTTTGGCAACGTCCTACGTCCTTGATTTAAGGGGACCCCCCCCCATTCTCGGGGTCAAAATTTTTGTTGATATAATTCGAATCTACACTGATTAAAGAATGTCTCTACAAAATTTCAAGTGAAAATTTTAAGAACTCTTGAAGAACTCTTATTGTGTCAGCATCAAGTGACGGCTGAAGGGCTTCTCAAACTTTAAACGCGTTTTTCTCTAAACATTTTTTTTGCGAATGGCGGGCACGATAACTCAAAAACTAATAATTCAATCGGTTCCAAATTTTGCAACGTTTCTCTGGGAGTGTATAGCTCTCATATGAACTAGGATAAAGCCAATCGGTGCAGATCTTCCTTGTTTTTTAACTTGGTTTTTGGTAAAAAATCGGCGATTTTCCAAAAATATTTTTTCAAATGTCCACCATTTTGTTAATTTTAGAGCGAAGTCAATAATCCTAGTTCATACGAGAGCCAGACATGTACTCTTTCTAACACCGTTGGAATTTTCGTAAATTATTTTCAAAAATAAGGACTTTTTTTAATTACAAAAAACAACAACAAACAAAAATTTTTTGTAAATTATTTTTTTTTCTCTTTTAAATCTTCAAATATATATGTGCAAAGTTACAAACCTTAACAAGCATTGGTATTGATTTACCAGTCCAGTGAAAATCTTGAAAAATTAAAATCGAGAATGGGTGGGGTCCCCTTAAAGATTCACCTGAATCACTGCCACTTTGATCCCAGCGATATCCATAGCCTCATTCTCATCCGTCAAGGATGAACCTTCCTAAAGATTCTCTAGGCTGAGACGGAAAGATCCGGTTTCCTCAATTCGATCAAGGAGAAGGTCCATATGCCGGTACCAAAAACCCTAGTGTTATGGTGGTCCCTTTGGAAGGACGCGACCTAAGACCTAGCAATTCATTACGTAGGTGCGTCAATCTCTCCTCGTTTATCTTGGGATCAAAGATGATAACTGGTTTATGCATCAAAAAGAAGCTAAGTTTCATAGTTGTACTTTGAGGTCGGAAAACACATTGATGAGCAATGAAATTATGTGGATTATTAGGTATTTGATTGTGGGATTTTCCCATGTGACCTAGGTCAAGATACTCTTTCATGAAAGAATTATACATTCCTTTAGATGTGTCGCCATGAGAAAGCCAGAGACCGCATCCAAATGACGAATCCAAAAGTTCAACATCTTCTTTGAAAGATGAAGACACTTGAAAAAGTCCTGACGATAAACGACAAACATATTTTGGGAAATGTTCCCCACATTTTTTATGTTCCTCAGACCGAATTTTTGTGCAATTTTTTTTTTTTTGATTTTCCTCCAACTTCGTTACAATTGCATCGTTCATCACAGACTGTTGAACTTTAATTTTCGAAATGGGAATGCCTTGGGATATGCCAGTTACATTTAACCTGTAATTTTCCCGTTTTATTTTAAGCCAGGCATGCTTCGCCATACACCTAACCGTAACTGACCGTCGATGGTTAAACACACATTTTCTTTTTTCTCTTTTCGTTTTTAATGATGAATTCTCAGTTACGCCCAATCACACTTATCCTAAATGTTGTTATGCCCACCACTGTTTTAAGCCTTTGTACCAAGTCCTCAGTTATCAAATTAGGTTGAGAACCGGAATCTAAAAGAACTGTAGGCAAAAATATTTTCCCGAGCTACTACGGACCTTCACTAATGCTGTGGCCAATATTAAGCCTACATTTGACGATGAGTAGTTGACATATGGAAAAAGAAAGAGGATAACAAGAAAAAGGTGATGGATAATGACACGTTAGAAGAAAAACGGAATAAAGATTTAGATCGACATAAGATGTACAGGGAAAGTAAGATAAATATTAATCTTGGTGAAATCTAAATCATGAATGCGTAAGCACCAGTAAATATTTACGTGTAACTCCCACATACAGTACAATATAATTGGTGTCAATTTAAAGGTCAACCACTCCTCTTAGATATACTGTCAACTTCTCGGATCTATGTCCTTAAGGAGTGAATATATACTCCATAAAATACAATTTTGGTATTTTTTCACAAAAAATTAAGGTCCATTTGACCCGCTGAATATTGACAGATCTTTATCAAAGCAGGCATGCTTATTCATTAGCCCGATTCCGTTCTTCATGTAAAATTGCGGCCTCTGTAGCGACCAGAAAAACGGACAAAAATTAAGTATTTGGTCCATTTCATCCCCTAAATATTAACCGATCTTTATCAAAAACAATAGGGGTCTTCATTTGCCAGAATCCATCCTACATGAAAATTTTCGTGAAGATTGGTCCATAACTGTGGCCTGTATCGTGTTTACTATAGATCGACTCAGCTAGTCGAGATATGACGGTGGGTATACTTGAAGGTGGGTCTAGGACCAATATTTCGCGGCGTTACAAACTTTTGGGGATGCACAAAGCTATAATACCCTGACAACATAGTTGTGTAGGGTATAAATATCTCTGAAGAAAGCTGTGACTAAAATAAAAAAACAAACGCTGAGGCCATCGAAAAAGAAAGCTGAAATCAATTCAGATTTAGATATAGCTCCCATATATATTTTCGTCCGATTTAAAGTAAATGGCGCAAAAATGTGCATATATATCATTCGATTTGCACGAAATTTGGCATAGCGTACTTAATTGAGTCTATAATGATGTGTGTTAACTTTCCTGAAAATTAGATATACGGAACAGGTACGTAGCCAGATGGAGCCCTGGGAAAGTTGATATTTATTCAATGTGTAAACTTATTCTTCACATACTGTATATTTTGTCTTGTAGTACAGGACAAATTAAATAATACAATCCAAAGGGGTCAGGCCCTTCCAAATTATATGAATACTAACGAGATAATACCCCTTATATAAATATAAGTTTGCTTTTAGATGATTTTCTCTCTATTGATGACTTCTACTACTTGGAAAGTGTTCCTTCCTGTGAATTATTATCCGAATCCATAAACCATTTATTTTAATATTTAATTCCAATATTATTTCTCAAAACTTTCGATTATAACGATTGACAAGGTGAAACATAACTTTCCCTTATCTCTGTCATATTCATAATTACATACATGGGCATACATTAAAAATCAATGACCCAATGACCACAATGGCTATCTTTATTATCATTGGCAGGATATCAATACCGGTCGGTCATTAAATTTTTAAAAGCATCTTTACGAATGTGTGGCCATTGGCAAATGAATGGCAGGACGACAAAAATAAAGCTCATAAATATTATTCAAACAAAACAGAAATTTGGCTTTCGATTTTTGAAGCAACAAAAATTAAATACTTGCGGTATAAAAAAAGTGGGTTGATGCCATGACAATGATGGTGATGACAATATGATAGCAATTTATCAAAACCATGAAAACAAAATGGGAATAGTACTTCAACAATAACAACAAAAGAAACCATGGAAAACGTGAATGAGAGAGATCAATTCAAGTGCTGTACAAATATTTGAATTTCTAAAAATTCAATGGAAATGGAGAAATGTGGGTTGCTGGGTGGCCGAACCAAACAAGGAAATGGGACAACATTCGTTACAACAATTCACTAATAATTTCGTTAGGCGTGTGGGAAAAGTTTATTTGTATATAGTATCCATTCAAGGTGTGTGCGACTGAGTACTAGCTCTTCTGTGCTCTTCATGTTGTTGTTGTTTACAACTGATAATAATGATGTTGTTATTATTTTTGGTGGTATTTCCTTTTGTTCCTCCGACCTCATATTTAATCTCACCTGCCTCCATTCATCCATCCTTACCCCACCCAACCCATTCCCTTATTTATTTTATTGTTTTTATTATTTTTTTTTTGGTACTTACCTTAATTTTCATTACGTAATTGGAGGGCACAAAGCCAATATTGCCCTTCATGCTGACCACTTGCCACCAGTTCCTTTGTCTTGCCGAGGTCTGATATAAAATAAAATATTCACCCTCATCGAAGCTAATCGTTTTGGGATAGGCGGCTTGAAAATCATATAAAGCTTTCAGCATTTCGATGTTATCTGCAATGTAGGAGAAAACACAGACAGACACACGCAAACACATTAATCACATAATTTTTATAAAATAAATATTTAATTTTTATTTTAAAATCTCTTATTTTTTCAAGTTTTGCTTTTTATTAATTATTCTCACATAATGTTTACCCGAAAAAATTTAGTTTGTCCAAAAAAAGGGAAAACAACACCCAGAGTCAACTGCCAGCACCAGTCAACTCAGTTACAGAGAGAGCAGCTGACTTATCAACGCGATAGAAAAATTGCAACTATCGAAAGAAAACGAACGCACTGCCAGACCAGCTGAGGAGTGTTTACACACGACGTGACAACAACGGCATTGGTTTTGCTGACGTTAACGTCGTTGACTGAGACAGCTAGCAGCAATCATTGCAAGGATATGCGGTAACAATTGTCAAAAAAAAAAAAACAACAATAACAAAACTACAACTGCTGTTACAACTACTCAAAAAGGAACAAGAGCACAGAGAGAGAATAGAATAATAACAACAACATTGAAAATACCTACTCATAGTTCATGTTGAATGAATGAGCAAGGCAAAGGATAATCACAAGTGTAACGAACGAAAGGAAATCAAAGAGAATTCCAACAAAAACACACGAATGACCCAGCAGCAGCACCAGCTCACATTCAACATAAATAACGGTAACGAAGGTAAGAACAACAGCAACAAAACAATGGCATAATGAAGTAAAACTAGCAGAACAAAACAAAATAATAATAGAGAGAGAGCGAGAGAAAGTCAAAGAAAAATTGGGAGAGAGAGGGTGAGGACATAAATGGAAAAGAGTTGCCACAGTGTTTTGTTGTCAAATATGCGAATAAGAGAACCCATCGAAGATGAATATTTAAAAATATTTTAAGTGGTTATTTATACTCTTTCGAGTCGAGCTTGATGATCTAAGTTAGGCGAAACGTGTCGCATAATGGTGGGTACGTAGGTTCTTCTCCTGGCTTTCTTTTTCATTGCAAATCTTAGATAATCAAGCTCGACTCGAAAGAGTATAAATAACCACTTAAAATTACTTTCAAATGATCACTGCCCTTACAAGGCAAAATTCAAATAACAAAAATTAATTTCAGCCGAGCACGGCTAGGGCTCGAACCCAGGTCCTCAGAGCAACACAAATGTTGCCAAGACCGCTTAACGTTCTGAGCCATCAACACTTCCAAAACGGTTGAGCAAAAACATGTGTATACCAGGAAGCAATTGTAGGTGTGTGGATTAATTATCCATCGCTACAAGAAAAATCTGCTTTGAAAAGGACTGTTCCTAGAATGAAGACAAATGTCGAACTTTGACAAATTTGAATTTAATTCGCATGTGCATGTTTCGCATCAGGGCGGAATAAATACAAGTTATCAACGTACGACATTTGTAAAGCCACATAGCCCAATATGCATGATGAGCCGCTTAACCAACGGCGAAACGCGTCGCATAATGGTGGGTACGTAGGTTCTTCTCCTGGCTTTCCTTTTCATTGCAAAACTTAGATCATCAAGCTCGACTCGAAAGAGTATAAATAACCACTTAAAATTACTTTCAAATGATCACTGCCCTTACAAGGCAAAATTCAAATAACAAAAATTTATTTAAAAATATTTCAATTTTAATTCGAAAATTCTCAAACTCAAATTGCTAGTCTGAACAGGAGGAAGCGAAGAGACTGATAACATTATAAAGCTAGCGAGCAAAGAACTCACAACAACAGCAATCCCTACACTAAGAGGATTAGGTCTCCGGAAGAGCAAACGAACTCCAAACCCTCAAACATAGAAAACAGCTTCCCGTCTGCTGATATTATTGTCACGATTATCTATGGCCTGAGGCGAAGTTGGTTCTAATATCAAAAAAGACTAGCACTGCAACGGAATCTTCCGTAAGGGCCGGGAAGCCCACAAGACCTAACCGGACTTTATGAAATGGTATTGATAAGTAGCCGCCATCCTATGCAATAGTTGACAGAAGGTTCTATATTAATGCTGTGCAAGCATGGGACCCTTGTTTACATGTATAAAAAGTTCTTTCTCTGCATTCTCTTTTACTAAATATAATAAATAATTTCATATGCCGGTTTCTCATTTGTTCTCTGAGAATTTTTTCGTTTCACACCTCTACTCTATATAGACCAGCTATGCTCTGCAGTGATCTACGAAAATAGTGCGTCCGAGAAAATATTAGAAATGACCCATAAGGAAGTGTCAGTAATAAGTTCTTGGAACACCTACTGCAGACGGGGGGTGGTCGTTGAGACCACCAAGCGTGTCTTGCTGATCGATTTGGGCTTGAGTAGGCGTGCTGTTCGAGCCATATATGGTGGATTATATTGTTTCCTGTGCAACTTATAGTTCACCTAAAGCTGCCTCGACTGTCTTAGGGCAGAAGAAGCTCCTTGCGTGTCAGCGGGTCGTCATGTTAGAATGTTTGCCAGTTTGTCGCACTGTTTCCACGGAGGCTTTGCAGGTGGTGTTTGGCGCCGTGCCGCTTGATCTTGAGGTGAGATGTAGGGCTATCAAGTATAAGCTTAAGCGTGGCTTGCAGTTTGATGAGAATGATTGGCCCAGGCTTTCTGATCTGGTGGATGGGGATAATAGGTGGTACAGCACTATCCTTCGGGAGTGTGTTGTTCACATTACGTTCGTATTGGACCGGGCTGACTTTCGCTTCGGTTTCGTACTGATTTCTTACTGACGGGGATGGTTCTCTCAATTCGTTTTTGAATAAAAGAAGCCTGTCCCATACGGATTTATGTGGGTACGGGATGAATAAAGACTGGAAGCACATTAGACATTAGAGATTTAGCAAATATTGGTATATGGAATTTCAGTAGGGTTCTTGAAGGCGATCGGACCCTTAGCAGGAAGTAGTTTTGCTCGAGAAGCGTTTAGGGGAAGGATAGTTCTTAGTGGAGGTGGTCCTCGTGCGTAGTATCCTTGCTGGTGGGTTGGTGCACCAGATGGCGGTGGGCTTTGTTGCGGCAGTTGGAGATGACCTAGTTACTGTTCATCGTGGGTATTTATGAGTCTACTTTTGTTGTGTGGATGTCGTGAAGGCTGCCCATGAGGACAGTTTTGTGGACTGTTGTATTGTCCGTTGCCGAGGTCTTTTGAGCCCTTCGTGCAGTACATGAGAACAGCATGTTATTTGTTTGTGTTCCGGGTTTGTCGTTGTGACTGTCAGGGGCGGTGTTTCTGCATGCCGTTTGCGGTTTTGCTGCGAACCTTGTTTCTCCTTACTGATGCGTAGAGTGGTATTTTGTGTTGTTTATTTTTGTATTGGGATACCAGCCCGGACTTGTGTCCAGTTTGACGCAAGTACGAGTCGCGGGTGCCTGATGCCCCTGGATCTGGCGATCCAGCATGACAGTTGGTGTTGCCCCCTGGGGAGCTTCGCAGGGGCAACACCTTACTGATGCGAAAGCGTAGAGTGGTATTTTGTGGTTTCGCCCCTCACTAAAGGATAGAGTTTGCCTTCTGTATGGGAGTTATTCCGCCTGTGGTTCAGCCACTGTGAGGTAGGCCAAATGGCAGGAACTCACATAAAGCACTCAGGTACTGCAGAAGGAGGAACAGCTGGGGGACTATCTAATTCTAGAGTCATCAAACACCATAGAAGCCCTGAGAAAACTACATGTTATAAGTCTTTGGCCCGCAGAACAAGACATTGCAAGTGATGAAAGCATCGATGTTTGTCAACTGTTGGGGCTGCAAATTCACAACAGAACTAGTGTTAGAAAACTATTGGAATCCACAAATTGTAGCGAGGGAGAAATACCAAGGGACTAAAAAGAGAAGCTCGTTTACTGGAGGGCTCGTTTACTATGGATACCGGGTCATACAGGAGTTATGGGCATTTTCGGAACCAATCTTGATTTATCATTTTTTAAGTTCTAAAACCTTTGTGGAGTTCCCAAAGGATATGACAGAAAGGCTGCATCTGCGGATAGGATCTACATTAGGCCCAGAAAATTTGGGAATCAAAAAAAATTTGACGAAGTTTTGCGTTCGCATTGTAAGATATTTACACACTTTTTTGGGGCAGATACAAGAAGAAGTAGAACAGTTCCCACCTTCGAACACATAATTACACGCCATTTCTACACATATTAGCAGATGACTAGAGGACTACAACGGGCCGTGCATCCGAACAGTTATAGTGGCACTTGACCTTATGAAAGCCTACGATTCCGTCAACCATGCCTAGCTGTTCGAAGATATATAGAAGACAAATCTCCGGTGTTTGAAAAACGTTGAATAATCAACTATATTTGTGGACGCCAGTCATATGTGGAATTCAGAAACAGTAAGTCTAAATCCCGTAGAGTCGAACAGGGAGTTCCCCAAGGTGGGACCACATCTCCGGAACTGTTTAACCTCTATCTCTCTGATATTCCACAACCATCATAATGTATGTGGATGATTGTACGATCAAGACATTTGTGAGAGGTTAAACTTCTACAAAGCTGATTTCGTAAATTTCTTCTCCACCACATGGACGGCTGAAATATAGCTCCCGCTGGACATAATGTTCGGTGGAGAACTTATTCCGGTCACTAACTAGCCCATGATACTAGGAGTAACGATAAGTTGAGAAGTAGGAAAAAGTCGCTAGCCGGCAGCACTTGAGACGCTGACAAGGAAACCTTGTTGACCTCTTATAAGACAATAGGCCGGTCGGTGGTAAGCTATGCGGTGCCAGTGTGGTTTGCTAATATAAGCCATATGCAGTGAAATAATATTCAGATCTGTCAGAATGCTGCCCTGAATACTGCAACAGGGTGTCTTCTCATGACTCCAGTGGACCATCATCATGAGGAGGCGAAGATCTTACCCGTCCATCGACCCAATTATATGTTGTCGATGCGGTATTTGCCTGGGTGTTTATCGTCGGGAACATCCCTGTTATATTATGGACAGAACTCCCCCGCCCAGGCACCTCAGGTGAGACATATAAATCAAACATATAAACGTAAACCTCTAGATC